ATTACAACGAAAAGTGGCATTGATTATACCTATATATATAAATAGTATATAAATTGTTACTTTGACAATTAAAAAAATAAATATAATTATACAAGATTACATTTGTGAGTTTGGCCTTATTCTTTTTTTAGTTTCATGTTCTCATTTAACATTTTTGTAATTGTAGTTTTTTTTTTTCAACGTGTAATGTAATTTGTTACATCAGACTTATGTACTCGATACTGCGCAACGTCTGAAACGGTGATTAACATTTAGATGCTGAACAATTACACTATTATGCAAACAACACGCATCGAATGATACACACAGCTGCATTGCAAGATATATGTACAAAACCAGTATTAATTGACCGTTGACAATGAGGAAAGATCATCAAAGCCGAGATCAAGAGTATGTATAGCTTGATATATGTATAACTCTGAATGTTTATTTTGGGAGAGCCATGCTTCGGCACGAATGGGTCGGCTCGACCGGAGTGATACCACGGCGTCACAGAAAACCGACGTGAAACAACCACAGCGTTGTGTTTCGCCGTGTGAGTGAGGTTACCGGAGGCCCAATCCTTCCCCTCCCCTAATCCCTAATCCCTAAAAGGTCGACAACTCCTCCGTTGCCGGTGTCCATGGGCGGCGCTGATTGCTTACCATCAGGTAATCCGTGTGCTCGTTTGCCGACCAACTATATAAATAAAATATACAGTACTTATGTATTATTTGAATTATTCCGGACGTATCCCGTAAATCATCTTATGACGTTTTGCAACCTGGTTGGGGCTAGACATATATATCAGACTCTTACTGTATAAAAGCCTTTATTACTATTAATTAATAGCGCTTGCCCCGCAACACTAATGCAATAATGAATTACTTTTTACAAATATACTTTATACATATATGTATACCCGCTTTTCTTATATCTATGTGAATACCATACAGCAATTTTACATGTCAGAATTATATGTATAACAAAATCAGATGATGCATTTTCTATTTGACTAATATGAGCAGAAATACCGAAAAAAACTCAAAGATGTGTCTTTCTTCGTCAGATAAAATAAATATCAACACACAAACTTTACGGTTTCTTTTCCTTTCAAGACTTGATGGAGCGCAGTGTATAAGGAACTTTTTCGTTCGTCGTTTTGTATTTTTATTGTAACGACATTACAGACAAGGATAATACAAAGAATATTTTTCCTACACATTTCTAATTATTACAATTATTGTAAACACACAGCAGTAATTAGGTACGTCAGGGCATGTAATTTAAAAGCCTGTTCAGTCCGTCAGTTGCCTACATAATAAAAAAATATTTAATATGTTTCGTTTTTATTTTTTAGTAGAAAAACGAATTAATGATTAGGAGCGGGAGCTACCTACGCCATAAAAGATTACTAAATCGTAACGTCACACTATATTACAAATTAATGTATCATCGACAGAATTTGATTACATAAGGTAAGAAAAAAAATGATTTTTGTATAATGCAGTATACGAACTCGTGATAAAGATATTTAGCACAGCAGTAAACTGCAGTAGTTAATCGTGCAGATAAAATAAAAATTAAGTACTATAACCGTTGCTAACTTAGTGTGAGCATTGCAAATATACGAAAAAACTGGTTTTGACATCTTAATGATCAAGATTATATTTAATTTTGTAATAAAACCATTAGGATGAGTTTTGTTCAGACGGGGTTGCAGGTCTAGCCCAATAATGTGCCACGGCCGCAGTCTGGAGCTTACTCCAGGAATGTACTGGGTGATTTGTAGTCAGTAAGAGTCTGACACTTTCCCCCGAAGAAGTTTTTGAGGGGGTCAAAATAAAGGATGACTGATTTTTGCACAAGAATTCCCTACAGGTATCGGAATAGCCGACACATTTTTATTAGATAAGTATTATGTTAGACGACTCTACCCTAACTTCTGGCTTTCTCAAAACACTCAGAGTCGCTCAGCGAGCGATGGAACGGGCTATGCTCAGGGTCTCTTTGCGCGAGAAAATACGAAATGTTGAAATTCGCCAAAGAACCAAAGTCACCGATATAGCTCGCAAAATCTGCAGGATAAGGCAGGTCACGTCGCTCGAAGGACGGACAGATTTGTCACAGGAGGAACAGTTAGGCCTCCGAAAATCTCACTTTACATGGCGAAACGCAACACGTAAGTATCGCTTCTCACCGGTTTTCTTTGATGCCGTGGTATCACTCCGGTCGAGCTGGCCCATTTGTGCCGAACATGCGTCTCTTACACGTTATATTTATTCTTGTTTTTATTATAACTATCGTGAGACATACTAAAAATCGCCGGCTAATCACGTGTATATATTGAGAAAAGCTCTACTAGCGCTCTACGCGGCGATGCAGCGCGACATCGCCGCGTCCGCGCACGCTGCTCAGGAGGAAGAACCCCTCTGTGGTTCGAAACTAGTAGAGCTTTTCTCGATATATACACGTGAGTAACCCGCGATTTTTAGTTAATATTTATTCTTCTTTTCCAAGAAGAAAATTTAGTCCCTTAATTATCAGCCCGTTTCCGTCCACCGCAAGGCATCAGCCAATTGTATTCCACCGAGCTCGATGTTCAGCTCTTCTCACTGTCAGTCATCTTTAGGATATCATCTGTTCACCCAGGCACGCCCACACAACACTGCGTTTGCCTATACGCATAATTACACAATTATGTTGTAATATGATTAGTTTTTAATATAAATGCACAGCTTATCTGTTACAAGAAACATTATGTAAATGGCACAATAAATTAATCTTGAATTATGTATATAGTATGTACTTATTTTTGTCATCAAAAATGCATTTTATCTTGCGTATAGCTAACAGTTAAATTATTATTTAATCAAATGTCGACAAACTTATTTATAATAATGTTAAAACGATATACTTAAAACAATACATGTTAAAAGTAATTCGAATGTTTTTTTTTATAAGTTTGTTAGAATTCACGCCAATCCCAATCCTTCCTCCTCGTTCCCATCTCGAAATCCCTAATCCCCAAAAGTTCGGCAACGCACTCGGAACTCCTCCGTCGTTGCGGGTGTCTATGGGCGGCGCTGACTGCTTACCATCACGTTATGCGTTTGCTCGTTTCTCGACCTATCACTTAAAATAATAAATAAAATCTACTTCCGAAATATGTATATGTCTGCGCTTATCTCCAAAAGGTCTCTTATCTCAAAAATCAATAAGATAAGATTTGATAAGATTATTGTTACAATCGTCAAGACGGCAGGGTCAGGTGTGAATGCAAAGGACATGTACCGGCACAGCAAAGGGCAAATACGGCAGATACTCACGGTTTTAGATAAAAAATGACCGTGAAATGACCCTGGATTTTATCTTATTTCTGTCCGATTTGTAGTTTTTGATAAATTATGACATAAAAGTGTAGCACATATGATAGCCATTGTTTTGAACAGATTAAGAGAAAATTCACTTCACACAACACAATCAATACCACTATCACTATCACTACATAGTATAAAACAAAGTCGCTTCACGCTGTCTGCCCCTATGTATGCTTAGATCTTTAAAACTACATGGCAAATTTTGATTTAGGTGTGTACAAATAAATTTTATTAAGGTTTGCGGACGAAGTCGCGGACATGAGGTCCTATATTATTTTTTCTTTTTTTAAAATTTAACGCAGTTACCCGACCCCAGGATTTACTCCCTTATTGTGGGTGCATTTATAAACATATAACACACACATTCACACCACACCCAGACCCGAAACAAAACATTTGTGGATCACACGGAAAGATCTTCCGTGCTGGAATTGAGCCACCGGTTGCCCAGCTAGCACGCCAACCGTACAGTCAATCTGCCTAAAATTCGTAGAAGATTGTCGGTTTTAACATTGGCAAAAGCATGTTATGATTGCCTAGTCGTCAAATAACTACATAGACAAGGGTTTATGCCATTTTGAAATAAAAAAAAAAGATATAAATAATATAGAACGCCAATAAAATAACTCCCACAATTAATATGCTTCCGTAGATATTATAATTTCATGTATTGATACAAATATTTTAGTTTAGTTTTTAAAATTGTATTTAATTTTGAACAGAAAATTGCCTATGCAATAAAAATGTAACACCCAAACATAATCTACATATTTGTGTGCGAGTATTTCTGAAATCAAAAAGTGAATGCAATATTCTTGTAACGCAATATTTCTAACCTACTCTCTGTTTCTAATTGCAAAATACGCAAACGCCACTTTTTAAATTAAATACATTATTAAATTATTTACAAAAGTACTTTGATGTGATTTTATCACAACTTGGGTATATGAATTATTTGTGTGTATTTTATGATTAATGACCAATGTGCTAGAAAATAGTTTTTAAAAGTTTTCAAAAAACTAGTAATTTTATGGTGTCTGATCAGAAAAATGGAAGAAGCAAGAGCAATCATATTTTTCAGACATCAACTGCCATATTCAGAAACATTTGATGGTTATTTGATACATTTTTAAGTTAGGATTTTATTCCAAAAACAAATATTAAGAACCGAGCGCTGAAATTGACTTAGTAGAAGGGCGAGAAGATTGAAACTACAAGACATTTTTAGCGATGTTATGGTTTTAATTTTAATTTGATATTAATTTACGTAAAGTTATTTGTAACATATAAGAAAAAAAATATACGGTGAATTGAGAACATACTATTTTTTTGTAGCCGGTTTAAAAAATAAATTTTACTATTAAATGAGGCACGTAATATAACGACGATGGTAATAAAATGCAAAACATTGCAAACACAATGCTCATATATGTATAAGGATTACAGAGGAAAACTTGAACCAGAATTCTTTGATTGGGAATGTGAAAATTAATTTTCATCAATACCTTCCTTAAACTTCAATGAAACGATTTCGATTAAGAACATACAAAAAATCATTATTCAAAAATTATTATTAAATAATTTTAAGCAACATAAATCAGTATAGAGATAGTTGCAATTAAAAATTAAGCACTGACTTACCTGTCAGAAAGAAATCCAAATATGGTACTGCCGATCAGGATGCCGACTTGAAGCACCGTTTGGTTGAAGCTAGCGAGCCACCGCCGTTCACAAATGAGGTCCCATTCCGACACAATAGTATTATCGAAAGGACTCGCATCATATTCGTATTTACCACACTCTTTATAACAAGTATTATTCATAATTTCCTCTGTGAAATTTCCTAAATCTACACAACGAAATGTGAGATTCGGTGTCAGGAATAAAATTGCCATTTGCACCCATCCTGAACTCAGTTTCACTAGGGACACTGAAGCGAAAACTATGAGTTGCCATTTTCCAAAATCCCCTAATAGATTTGCTAGACTGTCTTCTTTTTTTACACTGTTTGCCACTTGAGTCGTTAGTTTTACCACCATTTTTTTATCACCGTTTTTTTATTCGAGCACTGGTCTTGTTTTTTAAGACGTCTGTCGGTCGCCGCTTCTGGCGTTGTTGTACCTGTCGAGAACAAGAAATCAAGATGATTATATTGATAAAGTTTAACGGTTATCTTAATAAATAAAACTATTGTTTAAAGATTATGTTTTATAGGTTAGCGTTTAGTTGCCTGTTTATGTTATTGTAAATTGTTCGTAGATTTAGTAATGCTATTTAGCTGTTTTTTACTTGGTTAGTTTCTACAAGGTTATGTAAGGTTCAAATTTAACTAATGGCTTTGTAAAGGTTAAGTTTTATAGGAGGAATGGATGTTTTAAAAAACGCATTATGTGTAATGGCAGGTACCTATATATTTTAAATTATTGGTATTTTTTAGGCTATATCATAGATGTTACTTATTATTTTAAATGTATTTTATTGAAAAATATTTGGAATAATCGACGTAAGATTGAATTTATATTTAATTTTTTCTCGTTTTTATTCTTTCTTTTATTTTGTCTATTCTCCCTACGCTGTATATTGAATGTAATTTAACATTTTCAAAGCAACTATTAATTATAAAAAGTAAGTTAATATATTAAGTTTAACAAGTTTCCCTCTGTAAACCTTATATTTATAAACTATAATAATGATGGAATCGATAAAAACCAATTTTAATGATTATTTTTTATGTTGGAACTTAACACTGCTCTGTTTGAATCTCAAATTGACTCACTTAGTTAAGAAGGAATTGATTTCTCGAAAACCAAGTAATAACTAACTTATGAGAGGAAATAAAACCATTAGGCGAGTAAGAATGAAAAGACAACAGTTTGTATTTCCTTACTTGCAAAACGCGATATAATTAACAAAAGATATATAAAAAAAAAAGAAATCATCTGTCTACTCATTCTCGACGAATAAGATGCTGTTATAGGTACATAATTATATTTTGATATTACAATTTTTTGCTAGTAAATACTTTTGACGAGTTGATTTCTTTTCCTCCTAAACATGTCTGACATGTAACCGGTTTCATTTCGCAAATAACTTTAACAAAATTAATGCGTTCCTAATTAAAGTTTCGCCCAAAGGATTGAATGATTAATGTGCTTTGAATAATCCAGTTTGATTATGTAAAACTTTTACCTATGTCAGTTTCGTAATAAACCATGTTCATTTTTTTATTTCTTAGGTCGGCAAACGAACTGACTAATTGCCTGGTAAGCTATCGGCGCAGCCCATGGACATTCGCAATACAAAAGGAGTAACTGCAAGTGCGTAGCCAGCCTCCTTTGAGTGACAATAGGGGAGGGGGGGAGAGATTGGGCTTCCGGTAACCACACATACAAGATGAAACACAACGTAAGTATTGCTTCACGCCGGTTTTCTGTGAGGCCGTGGTATCACTCCGGTCGAGCCGACTTATCGAGCCGAAGCATGATTCTCCCACACTTCAATTCAGATAATATTAAATTATTCCAATAATTATTTATTTTACCTACATATTGGTGAAATCGTAATCAATTTTTATTTGCAACTTAATTTACACACCACCATTTGGACACCCGCAACATTAAAATAATCACAACAGCTGCCGCCACTCTTTGTGTTGATAAGGGTTGGGAGTTGGAGATGAGGGGGTGGTATGGTAATTTTACTAGGTAAGTGCCCAAAGCCACCGGAGGCCCAATCCGTTCCCTCCCCTAATCCCTACACCTTCAAATCCTTAATCCCCAAAAAGCATTGCACTCGTAGCTCCTTTGTTGTTGCGGGTGTCCATGGTGGGTCCATGATGGATTGCATCATGGACCCACCATAGGCCTCCCCAATTGAACGCCACTGAGCTCGATGTTCAGCTCACTGATTGCTTACTATCAGGTAATACGTCTGCTCATTTGCATTTTATCACTTAAACAAATGCCGTGGTTGAAATTTAATGTTTTTTATTACTTAATGGCTGTTGTGATTATCAATATAGCTTCAGTGTTTACATGATAACGTTATCGACGGCTTCTTTACAACAACTATTGTTGTAAGATTACACGATTAAGTAATTGAGGCTACATGCCCTAGTATGTAGGTATTTCTAGGTTCGAATCTAGTTCATAGACAAGATTATCAATGATAATATTTAAAAGCAGGTTAGTAGAAATAGACTATATTTAAGTACCTTCATTATAGACATGAAGCTAAGACTATATTTTTTATGGATAGGTGATTTTTTTCTATACACGAATAGGGTTAACTCTTGATAAGCAAAAGGCAAGAAGTTCCAAATTCGTGGCCGGTCTTGTAGGTCGGTATATGGAGATGGGAAGGACCCATTCCCCAATGGGCATAGGTATATCAAAGCGAAACATAACCCAAATGTTTTTCAATCTGATTATCTGTGAACCTGTGATATCATTCCGGTCCGGACAGCAAATCAGTGCGGAAGCAGGACTCTCCTAAAGTGCACCTTTGCGCCATGTGATCCTAAAACTACCAATCCTTAACCCTTAAACCCCAAAACCCGGTAACGCACTGATTTTGATGTGTGAAACACACGTGAAAATGTCAAGTGTGTATTCGAAAAATCCTTATCCCGGTTTTAGCTTCTGCGTCAGGCGGAAGGTGAGGACTCCATGGCATCTCTCAAGCCACTCCTCAAAGAGGGGTCTTACTGCTGCTGCTACAACAGTGTGCCCGGATCAGGCCGGTGTTAAAGATGAAAATATTAAAATTATATTTATGTGTAACTCTTGACAATTATAAAAACAGGTTTTATCTAGACTACTTATTATTGGCATTGAGTCTAGGTGTCTGTTTATCTAGATATACACGTATGTATCATGTTAAATGACTCAACAAATTAAAACGTTTTTAATTTTTTTCGGCGTTTTCTGCAAATAATACTAAACGTTCCAGTCGTTTCAGAGTTATTGCGAGACAAACGAATCCATTTTGCATATAAGATTAAAGAAAAGAAGTACTATTAAAAGTATTCAGAAATAGACATCTCCATGAATTAAATTTGAAGTTATGATAAGTATTTCCTAAGTTTGTGAAAATTGCTTATAAAATCGATACTGCGTGAGTGTAGAGGTCGTTCAGTTTAATTGAGGAAAATTGTGCAAAAACTATTAATGCAACATGGAGGGTCGTAAAATGATAAAATAGTATTTAAAAACAACTATTATCGTGACCTACTTAGTTTTGTAGCCATATTGGAAATTATAGACATTGTATTTTAATTTACGTAGGAGGGAGTTTATACGATAGTCTCATAGAAAACCAGCGTGAGGCGAAGTTTGCGTTGTATTTCGCGGCGTGAATGAGAAGACTCCACCAGCCTAAATGTCTGACTACAATTTTGTATTTTTTTTTGGTATTTCATGAGTTCATAGGCGATCCAGCTAGAGACAGGCAGTATATATGTGTATCTTTTTAATTTTCAGCGAGTTAACTGCCACCCCCATGCGACCAGAGCCAGACCAAAGAGTACGTCCTGTGCAACTCTGCGAGTGCCTCAATAAGCCATGCAGCCAGGGCCAATATCCAGTCGGACCAATATAATTGCGGGTGTGCGCAATGTTTAGTTTTAGTCAGTAAGAAGTAGATATACTCGGGATCTAGCCCAAACCAGGATAGCTTTAAGCCCCACAAGAAAAAGGTCATGGAATAGAAAACCCTATAAAGATAAAGGTTTTCCTTTGTTCTGAAGAAGACGTCTTCCGCCTGAAGATGATCACGATGATGAGTTTTTCGTCACAGATTAATTTGAGATTGTTCTTGGCGTGGTAATAACCTTACCTAATAGATAAGATACATTGATGAACAGTTAATAAAATATATTATTTTTATGTATTCGCAATTTGTATTTTTCGTGCGTTTATAATCGAATGGTTATTTTAATTATTTATTCCCTATTAATTTTAATAATATTTTGACTTCTGGTTCATCAATTAATTTCATAATAATTATTGCAAAAAGTGTAACGTTGCGCTCATGTGTAAGACGCATGTTTTAGTCTAAAATGTTAATTGATTCAAAATATCAAATAAATTAAATTTTAGTTTTAAAATTCGTGTGTACAGTCTCATTACCCTCCAAGTAAGAGCCTTCATGAGAAATTCATCTATTTATTGTGGGAGAGCCATGCTCTGGCCCTAATGGGTTGGCTCGATCGGTGTGATACCACGACTTCACAGAAGAACGACGTGAAGCAACCATGGGCGGCGCTTATGCTTACCATCAGGCAATCCGTTTACCGAACCATCACAGAAAAAGAAACCAAATATGAGACGCGTGTTTCAAGAATGCTACAAGATTGAGCCATTATTGCCTATTTCTATTTATACAAGGACCTTGTAAAATATGTAAATTTTCTATGGACTACCGAAATTGGTATTATTACGATTGTTGATTGGTTTAGTAAAAAGGAAAAAGATTTGTTAATATTGATTATTTTTATGGTCATTCGCAGTGCGGATTTTCGCAACAATTTTACAATATCACCTTGAAATAATATTAAGAACACGTCAGGTGTTATTGCCACTGTAATCATCTTTTTATGACATAGAGAGGCAAACGTGCAGACGGATGGTGATACGTGTTTACTGTTTACATTTTAACAGAATTGCATACCATCACACCTGATGGTAAGCAATTCTGATAAAATTACCACGCCTTCTTTTCCCAAAGAAAAGAACAATCTCAAATTAATCTGTGACGAATAACTTATCATCGTGATCATCTTCAGGCAGAAGACGTCTGCTTTAGAACAAAGACCTTTATCTTTATCGGCCTTTCCATAACCTTTTTTTGTGGGGCTTAAAACTATCCTGGTTTGGGCTAGATCCTGAGTATATCTACTTCTTACTGACTAAAAACAAACCGATTCTTTCTGCTCCATTCGAGCTGCGATATATCATTGTGCACACCAGTAACTGACTAGATATTGGCCCTATGGCTGATGGCTCATTGAGGCACTCGCGGAGTTCCATGGGACATGCTCTTGGGCCTGGGTCTGGTAAGAAATTGGCACTGCCCATTAACATCCGCAACACCAAGAGTTATCCTCAA